GAACGCCCCCTTTCTATTAATCTAGTTATCTACTCTCACCATGGTATCTGAGTAGCAAAGCATTTTAGTAGCAGATAGTTTCAGACCATCAACCTCTGGGCACACTGCCTAGTACACCATGGCCTTAGATGAGGAAACTGGAAGAGAGACTGGGGAGACATTGAATATAAATGAGGTGTGATGGTTTACGTGACATCCCTTCTGTATTAACATAGCAACTTCAGACTTGAGGGTATCACCCAGCCTCCTAAGGGAAGCAACCCAGTTGTAAAATTCCTCCGTGGACACGGGCAATCATAAGGACAAATGAAACCCACGTGCACCTAGTTGATTTGAAATTAGCTACTGTGAGAAGGTACCGGGATTGGCAGACTAAGCTTTGTGATCTATGGGCAGGCAAAGTTGCCAGAAAACAATACAAAGCTTGTCCTGAATACATCTTTGCTGCAATTGTGTAAGCAAATAGGCTGCTAATGCCTCTTTCTGTTCAATTATATATTGATGGGAACTCTGCAGCTAGATGTAACTGTATATTCATTTATTAATCCTGTTTTTGTGTCATTCCTCTCTTGAATGAAATAACTCATTTCACAAATCTAGGAGCTTGCTGACTGTTAAGAAGTCATCCCACTAGAAATTACAGATAGAAAACCCCATTAGCGCATTTGGTTCAGGGGTCCTCAGACTTTTTCATAGAGTGGAACCCATATGAAGAGACATAGTATCTAGTGAATAATCTCCACTTTCATTCTCGATCCATTTGATAATTCTGTGGCAGCTACAGCAATTGCTACATGGGAAAGCAATGCCAGGAAAGCATAGTACCTTCTTCACGATAGGAACTGTGCCTTCCTTTATGTGTACAATAGCACAATGAAGATGTTACTAGAAACAAATAACTGTAATATTTAACAATTCTCCCGTATTTTAACTATTCTACTAGCGTCTTTGCCTCTTGAGAGTGACTCCCTGTTTTCTCTCCTCCTCCTCTGATATACCAGCAGCTACTGGCAGAGGCAGCTAAACGGACTCTTCCTTTTTGTTCCCTGCCACTTTTACAAATATTCAAGCTCCTCTTTGCCATGAGGCGCCTGTACAACTACAGAAAGAGCTGGAAGCAAAGAAGTGGCTCCAGAACCTTGTGAACACCAGCCAGCTGTGGGCTGACAGATTAAGAACTGATCTAGTCTGTGTCCTTGCTAATTCAGGATTGTTTCCTCCCACAAACTGGTCCTTTGTCCAGTTGCATTTAAATATCTTGGGAGTGGATCAGACCACCATGTTTGAGGGAGAGGTTCTCTGGCAAAAGGGGATAGAAACATCAGTGTTTCAACTGAGATTCTGCAAATGGAATGACTTATTTGTAGCTTTGCTGTGATGTTTTGCCATCTTCATTCATGGAGAAACGGTTTGGGATATATTTAGGATGATGTTCACCCCCAGGGCCCACTTACACCCTATTCTGATGGTTTAAGTGGGGCATAGTCCTGAAGCTGCCTTTCCACGAACAGGTGAATGTAATCTGTTTTCTCTCCTCCTATTCCTCTGATGTACCAACTACTACTGGTGGACGCAGCTCAACTGACTCCTGTTTTTCCCCTGCCACTTTTACAAATAAAATAGACTCAGCATCCTGAATCTCTGCCATTAATCTCTCTCCCCAGTGGTTCTTGACTGAGCAAAACTCCCACTAAGACAATGGGCCCCAGAGAAGAACAAACCTACTCTCAAGACCCAGGGCTAGATTCTCCTCTGCCCTGCACCAGAGTTTCATTGACACCAGTGCAAAGTGGGTGTAAAACAGGACTGAATCAGAATGGTAATGAGTCGTTCTCACTTTGCATTGGTGTAAATATCTTCACGCAGTTTGGGGCAATGGAGAAACTGGGCCCCCAACTCTCCCTCCTGTTCACCAGAAGGGGCAATGCTGGGAGCCACTTAGGAGCACATGTAGCAGTAAAAAAAACAACAACAACAAAAAACCAGAATGGGACTTAGCATTAGAGTTTCATCCACAATTCCTGGACTTTATACTAGTCCCTCATCATTAAGTGATGGTAGCTTCTAGTATGTGAATTTGTTACAGCTGCACAGCTGGGAGCTTCAGGACATTTCATCCTTCACCGTGACTGTTAAGAGCTCCCTGCTTGGATCTGAAACCTTTCAGCAGAAATAGGAAAATCAGCTTCATAATTTTAATTGGTATCACAGCTCCAAGTTACACACTTCTGGGTCAGAGAGAACGGCGTTAGCCATCTAATCACAAAGCTTGAAACTTCCTGGAAACCCAGGAGCTTAGCCCATCTTCCGTCTGAGATCCACAAGTGAATTTCACGCATTTTACTGTGTGTGATACCTTTAAACTGAGGTCCTGTCTGCTCTAGGCAAATTCCTAAATGTAGAGATTTGCTGTGGTGCCTATAACCAAAACTTTCCGTGGCTAATCCTCATTCTGAGTTGTATTTAATTGGAGAAGTGATGCTTGTATGTAAATTGTAAACAGTGCTTTGGCTTCTTTGGATGAACGGTGGTCGAAAATAAACATAAATGTGGATGGATACATGCATGTGTATAATAGTAATATTTAGTGCTAGTGGAAAAACAAGAAAAGTCATGAAAATATACAAATGTTTATCCGATTTTGTCAACATTTGAAAAATTTGAAAAATTCAAATGAAAAAATAGTTTACTTACCAATAATAATAATAATAATAAATCATATTTGACATTTATTTAGAAACTCTAAGGAAAGCAAAACACCCTACATTGGAGGTCCCAGTAGCCCTGAACACCCCTATTAGCATGATGTAGAACCTGGGAGAATGCTGCAGAGTTTCTGCTAACTCTGTGGCAGGTGCAGCTCATTAACACCACTCGGGAAGTGAAAGTGGCTCTCTAGGAAGACAAAAGTTGGAATCAGGGTAAAGGAGGGTGCCTGGAAAAAAAAAACACACACCCTACAATGAGCTTGATCCTTCTTTAATTAGAGTCCCTGCAAACTGGTTTCTACACCATTCACTTTCCTAAAATGACTCTTCATAAGTTCACCTGTGGCCATACCCCAGGGCATCTTCTCTGTACTCTCCCTCCACAAACTACTTCTCTGGTGTGGGGGAAAAAATACCTAAAAGTCATCTTGCAATGTTTCAAAGGGCCTATGTAATTTTGAGTATCTCTAGTTGGGCATCCAGAAATGGAGGGACCAAAAGTGAGAGACCACTTCTAAAATGTTGGCCCTAGAAATGTTGGCCTTAGAGGGTTTGTCTACCCTCTGGTAGGTGGGGGGGCCATGCCTACAGCCGAGCAGACAGACAAGCTCTAGCTCTGCTCCAGCTAGAACACTAAAAATAGCAGTGTGGAGGTTGCAGCATGGGCCAGCTACCCAAATACAAATACTGAGCATCAGACAAGCTTTTATTTGGGTGGCTAGTACCACCCCTCCTGCCACAACATCCACACGGCTATGTGTAGCGTACGAGCTAGTGAGTCTGTCTGCCTGGGCTGGAAGCTGCACTCCCGGCTCCAGTGTAGCTCCAGAGAGATATTGGGCTCCAGGAGACAGGACACTGGCCTGCAACTTGAAAGCCCCGGTTTGTGTTACTGGTTCTGCCTGTGTAACCTGGTGCAACTCAATGCCTCCATTTCCTGTCCCATCCTTTGTCTATTTAAATGGTGAGCTCTTCAGAACAGGGACTCCCTCTTACTCTGTGTTTGTACAGTGCCTAGCACAATGAGGCCCTGATCTTGGTTGGTGCTACTAGAATATGAATTGTCCTATATGCTTCTATATATACATACATTGTGCATGTGTTTAAATTTTCATTCATTCACTATCACTTTATAGATAGTATTACTACATGCTTGCAGGGAGATGACTTCCACTGTATATTGTTAAAACATATACAGAATCTGGAACATACACAGGACAATTCTGTATAAGAATATGTGCCAACAGAGAAATGAGTAGCCCACTTGTAGAATCCAGAAGGTGGAGCAAATTTAAATACAGCATATTTTGGTTTTGTTTGCAAAGCCACCAAGCCAGTTTTATTGGGAGCTTTATCAGATGGTTAATAGCATGCATAACCAATACAAGTGCTAAGGCCACCCCCATCCATTTTATTCAGCTAGGTTTTAATCTTTGATCCAGCTGCTACAAGCATCTGGCATGCTGAACTCAGGCAAGGGAATCTGACATGGAATGACACACCCGCGTAATGATAATAGTAATAAGAATATAGTACTATAGATGTGTGTGTACTTGGCACAAATTAAGCATATGTGTTTAAGTGTATCTATAATATATGTATGTTATATATAATATACTGTGTATCCTACATTATCATCTAGATTAATAGAATGAAATCCAGATGCCTAGGTCTCATTTGGTGGTAGGATGCATTCTGTTCTTGCTTGTTTATATTTATACTGTATAAATGTAGTGTAAGAACAGTATTTGGGAAGTGGGTAGGGAGAGAAAGGTAGTCAGTGATTAGTCTGTAGTCAGTAGCTCAGTGGAACCAGGAAAATCCCTCCATTAAGCCCCCCTCCCCAAAATCCTTATTGGAAGACACCCAGGCACCGGATAACTTCCCAGTTCCAGACAGGAAATTCGTTTTCCCTCACCTTGATCCCTATCTGTCCCTATTCCCCACCCCCCTTCCCCCTCTCTCTCCATGTCTGGTTTTGCTAAATATATTAGCCACCCTGTTCATCGGTGGCTGCAGGTTCCAGACCTTCTAGGAATTTCACAAATCAATCGCGCCGGCTGGTGTCAAAGACAAGGGGGGGAGGGGAGAATAGGATGATGTCCCTCCCCGCTGGCCCCACGCAAGTAGGGAGGGCGGGGGCAAGAGCTGGGAGGCACGTGCCCCGCGAGGGGGCGCTGTTGTGCCAGCCCTGTGGGCCCGGCTAGTCCTGACACCTCCAGAGCAGGTGTGAACAGTGTGGCTGGCAGCCGCCTTCCTTCCAGTTGCGCTCCGGAGCAAGCTGGAGGAAACACGTGCTAGGACACACACACACACACACACACACACAGGCGCGCGGTGTCTTCTGCATTAGGGAACTGGGTGCTGCCGCTGCCGGTGCGTTCGCTGCTGCAAGGAGCCGGCGAGAGCTTTGGAAGAATGTGAAGCCGGTGCCGTCTCCCAGGGGCAGCCAGTGGGCTGGGACTAACTGGAGGAGTCCTGGTAAGCACTCACCTTCCTGAGCCATCTTCTGTCTTTGGTGTCCTGAAGGCTGGATCATCGGGCCGGGGTGTTGTCCTCCTATCAAGGAGCTATGGGGTGTGTTTGGGGGGGAGGGGGGTCTGGGCTCCAGTACCAATTCCCCCCCCCCATGCCCTCCTCTCCCCCTAGAGCAAGTTTGAGAAAGTAGCCCCTCGCCGGACAGGTGTGCTCGGGGTTCGGGCGCAGATCAGAGGTAGTGTCCGTGCAATAGACCAGCATCCCCAGCCCGCTTGGCTGGTGCAGATCAGTTGGTGTTCGGGATCTGGGTCACCTCGTGTTCGCAGAGAATAATGTTTGAAGGGAAAAACAAAAACAAAACCAATCCAACGAGTGGAAAGAGCCGGGAATGGCACAAACCCAGGCTGTGGAGCAGCGGGAACGGCAGCAAAAGTATGTTAATGCTATAAAATGGATGCACTAGCTAATCCTTCTCTGCAACGACGTCCTGGTAAATAGTCAGCCCCAGCAGCAGCCTCTAAAGTCCAGATCAGCTATTACTTAAATGACATTTTTACATAATAGCCTGGAATAAAGAGGAGATCTCCCCCCTCCCCCTGTTGTTGTTGCTGCTGCCGCAGCGCTCTGGGAGGTGTTGAGTTTGTAGAGACTCAGCCCCCCCTTCCCCGTAACCACACACCCGCTGTCGGGCTCGTGTTCCCAGGCGAACTGTTGCACGAAGGTGCAGCTGGATGGGTGAGGAGGGGAATTTGTTGGGGGTGAGCGTGTTTGTGCGTGTGTGTGGGGGGCTAAGGGTCGGACTGCAGGGAAGCCGGGGACGGAAAAGGATAGACGAAGACAGCAGAATTGGAAAGGAGTGCGTGTGTGGTGCAGGGCCCGGGGGTATGCGATGGGGTCTGCGGAGTCGCAGAGGTGCAGGGGACACTGACAGAGCGAAGGAGAGGGAGCAGAGGACGCTGATGAGAGCCGCGGAGTGAAGGAGGAGGGGACGCAGGTAATGTGTCTGCGGAGCATGCGGGATCAGTAAAGGGAGGCGTGGGACGGAGGGCGCTGAAGTAGTGGGGCGGCGAGGGGCAGAGGGGAGCGGTACCAGGGCACGTATCAGGAGATGAAAGGCTGTACGTCTCCAGCGCCGCTAGGGAGTGGGGCGGGTTTCAGGGGTCATGCGGGGAAGATGTGTGTGTGGGGGTGATACTGAAGGCAGTAGGAGGGGGAGGGGATACCTGTTCTCGGGAAAGGCGAGGGTGGGATAAAGGAGGGAGAAGAGGGGAACTGAGGAGACTGCAGCTGGCACGGATCCTGGCATCAGAGTTGGCAGCTCTGAATTCGCCCTTGGCCGGTGCACTGCTTCTCGCCTGGCTGTGTCTGGCTTTGTCACACTGGGCTGCTGTCGAAGTGGTATTGCCCCCATTTCACCGGGGAGGCCTTGTCTAACCCAGCGGCGTACAATGGTGGGGTACCACCACAGGGGGGGGGGAAATCTGGTTGTAAAAAATATGTTGTTCTCCTCTCAAATAAGCATCAGGCAGAGCCAAGGGCGGTCTCGCTGCTTGGGCTCCTAGAGGGATCTGTGCCACTTGGTGGCACTAAAAAGTTGCGATGAAGACCATGCTAATCTCTCAGCATGTAAATTTCAACCCCCACCCCCATCCCATGCCTCGTCCGCACACGCGGTAGGGTCTCAGGTGTGGACTCCGTGTGATTAAACCAGAAAGGACAAGAAAGAAATTGACCGGAAACCAATCTCCACTCTGCAGCGGTCTCTGTAGGGGGAGGTAAAACTTTGTGGAGAAATAAGGTATCTGCCAGCCGAAACAATAGGGGCAAACTCGTCTCTGGAGCTATTTCTGCGCAGAAAACACTGTGTTACAGTATGTGTGTGTGTGTGGGGGGGGGGTCTATGTCTATATCTAAAGCTTAAGGTGCTACTTGCTCTCAGGAAGAAGGTTCTAGAGATACATGATTCATGGCTTTGGGTCATCCCCGGTATCATGCATGGCACCGAATTAGCCCTGTTGGGAAGCGGGAGGGGGGGAGCTGGAATACATTGAGTGGGGAGCCTTTAAAACCTTCATACACCTGAAGCAACTTCCCTGCAGTGCGAAATGCAAAAGGACTCAGATCAGGGGGAAGGATTCAAAAACCAACCGGTTATCAAGCCAGAGACGCTGGGAGTCTGTATGTGCTGCTGGGGAGGGGATAGGAGGCTCTGTCCTGCTAGGTTTGGGCAGCGAGAGGTTCTGGTGAGCAGAGAGCAAAGATCCAGCTGCTTTTGATCCAGAGAAACCACTGACGTCTCTTGCAAACGAGGCAGTGGCAATGCTGGGTGAGCAGTGAGGGAGCAGCGTGTTGCATGGCATGAGGGGGAGGAAATACTCGGTCCTCAGAGTCTGTGTGGGATCGGGAGACAACAGGATGTGCTGGCAGCTGGAGGAGTGACAGTGCTAGCCAAGTGGGGCCAAAGGCGCTGCTGCCGGATGGTGACCTCTCCAAAGAGACCTGAGGATTTTTAAGCCCCCAAAGGTCTGCGATAGGATTTGCTATCTATGGCCGTGTTAACAATTGCAGGGGGCACCTTGCCTGCGCGTCTTGACTATTGACACCCCATCGCAAGTGGCGAATGCTGCCATCCACAAGGTAATTCGGCCGGGGTGTGGGGGGGTGTATCGGTCCCGTTGCAGCTAAAGGAATTCCGTATCCAGCAGGAGATCTCCCTCCCTTTCCCCCTATTGTTCCGTGCCGTGATCGCATGGCTTCTAAGCAAGACAAGACTGCACGTGAGCGGGGTAGGAAGAGGAGCAGCGCCATGCAGCGCGCTTCTCTTACACATGGCCTGGCTGTACTGTAGGTATGTCTGCTTGGGAAGCTTTCGTAGTGACATGGCTCTGCGGGCAGCATGGGCTGTGGGGTTCTGCACGCGGGGTGGGGAATGGGCGGTGGGACCAGCCAATTAGTTACCTTGCGGCTTTGCAAGCGAGACCTTCCTCCACGATTAGGTGGACAAGGAACCTCTCAATACCTGGCTTTCCCTAGTTTTAAATGACCTGGGTGCTCCGCTCGGCAGGGGTGGCGTTTCTTCCCTGGGCAGGAGGGGCGGTGTAGTGGAAAAGGCAATGGACTTGCTCTCCAGAGAGAGCGGCTCAGTGCTCAGCTGAGCCCCAGACCTCCTGTATGACCTTGGGACAAGTCACACAACCTGCTCTCAAACCCCCAGCGAATAATTGGGGATGATACCGCTGCTGTTACCAAAATCCACTGCTGATTGCGCGCCGCTCAGATACTACCGTGACGAGGCCAGATAGTGAGAGAGATCTAGCTAGATCTAAGAACCAATACATAAATGCGTGTGTATAGGCGTATATTATAGCTGGCTACACCTGTAGGTAAGACTGCCCTATACTTTATAACCCCCTGTTTATGTGTGTGTATAATTCAAAACCTGTAGCCCAGTTTGGCAGAATTGTTACCAATACAGGTTCCCCGCCCCATTTCCCCAGTCCTTAACTTGTCTCTTGAAATCCCTAGCTTGGTGCCTGGCAGCTGAGTATCTGTCTCGGGAGGTGTCCAACTGTTAGGAGTCTGTTAAGGACCACAGACAGCTCCTTCTAATGCTTGGGGAGAATTGACTGGACTGAGGATACAGCTCTTAGCAGCTGCTGCATGTAAAAGGGAAGGAAAATTTAGTTTGACTATCAGGTGAAACTCCCCGTTGGTGAGATCTATTAGACCATGGTATCACTTCTCCAAAGGGAAGTGGTGGAAACCCCCATCCCTTGAGATATTTAGGCTAGAAAAAGCACTGTTTTAACAATTGGGTGACAGTGAAGCAGTTATGTTTGGTGTATATGTATGCCTAGGAAGCATTTAATCTGCAGATCCGTGCATGAAGAGTATTTCTACATATTGAGTGAAATTTGTCATTGTGTATGTGTCTTGATCCCGCCAGGTGCTCTGCATTCTGGCCCCAATCCAGGAAAATTTAGGTAGGTACCCAATTGAATCAAAGGGATTCCTCCTGTTCTTAAAGTTGAGCATGTTCTTAGGTGCTTTGCTGGATTAGACCCAGAGCCTTCATCACCTTGCAGGATCAAGCCCATACACAGTAGACTGATTTTCTGTCATACATAACTTAGGCATTTAAAAATGTTAAAAAATTATTCAAAGGCACTTAAGACATTACGAAACTAATAGGCATCGTTGTCTGTAAGGTTACAGGGCTATAGAGAAACTGTCTAGGAGTAAAATGATTTTCTTGTTTTCCTAATGTAAAATGGACCAAATCAGTTTCCCCCCAAACAATTTTTAAAAAAGTCCCTAACTGAGATTATACACGAGTAATGGTGAACTACAACCCCATATAACAGAGGAGTATAACAGAAAAGCAGGCAGGCTGTTAACTCTACCATCATTAGTGGGCTCTGCTATAATGTGAGCTATTTGTATAGGAAATGTTTTACATTGTAAAGACTCAAGCAAAGTTACATTTGCTGGTGCATAAAGCAAAGGAAGTCAGAGATGCCCCACCAAATAAACTCCCAACCATTCATGTTGTGAAGAAAGAGCAAATGTTCAAGACTCCTAGTGGCTTGTGAGGAATCAGGATTAAATGAATGGAAGTACAGTGCAAAGTCACTTTATTGTTGTTATTTTTTTTCTCCACCAATTATAATTTCAGATAGTTTAGTATTTCACGTTCAAGTAAATAATTTTAGAATGATGCAGTATTACACACACAGTGCTGGAGATGTTAATTTACTGTGCTTTTAGGCTCTGTCCTTAGCACAAAACAGCTGGAATATTGCCCTATAAGGATATCTGAGGACTCCTTCTGACACAAGGGAGTCCTAGAATGTCATAATGGCCACATTCCTGTCTCCCAACCTCTCTAGAGGGTTTGGGCAGGGTACATGTCAAAGGAGAAGGGAGGCAATACAGAGTGCTGCGTGCTCCATCAGATACGCAGCTGGAGTAAATTGGGGTAGCTCTATTAACTTCAATGGAGCGATACCAGTTTACACCAACTGAAGCGCTCATGCAAAATGTTTCTCATTCCTGACAAGACAGCAGGTGTTCTGTTTCCACCATATATTTTAGTGGTTGCAGATTCCAGTGCGCAGCATAGACTATATTCACTGTTATACTGAGGGCAGATAGCTTTTGCCTTTTACAATATTTTCCTGGCCATGTCCAAAAAACCGGCATACACCAGTAATTCCCTCTTTCTTATGTTGGAATAAATCGGGAGCGACTCTCTTGAAGTCAGTGGTGTTGTACCAGTGTAAAACTAGTGGGCAAACAGATCCATACCCTAAGTGTTTTGTTTGTTGGATTGCATGTGCATCACTGAAGAAGAATAAGTGCAGGTATATTAACAGCAGTTCCCAATCCTTTACTATGCACATGTTCTTCAAGAGTTCACTGCTTTCAAACCTGGACACTCTGATGGGTCCCCTGCTCGATTTTATATTAGAGACGTCTCCCAGGAAATGCCAGCGGGATGCTCAGCCCATTGAATCTCTGCTCAACTATCTTTTAGCTGAGGAGAACTTTTTAGCCAAGTTGGGATGTTCACCATGCTGACCCTGATGACATCCCTCAGTGCCCTGCCTGCAAAGACAGATGATCTCTCTCTAACGCTGGTGTCAATTCTAAATAACTCCACTGGTGCACTTAATGATGCCAGTGTAAAATCCATGTAATTTCACTGGCTGGTTTAAAGTCCATGGAAGACAGTGGGAGTCTCTCCACTGACTTCAGTGGGCTTTAGATCATTGTCCTATGTACATCCCAAGTGACTCTGCTGGCTCTCTTAGTGAGATGGGTAAATTCCCAAATAAATTTACTCTGTCACTTAGCAACGCTGGTGTAACTGAAATAACTGTCAACTCTGATGTAACTAAGATCAGAATCTGGCTCTCTGGCCCTGGCTCTGAGGAGTGAAAGAGTTTGAGGGCTCTCAGAGTTGGCCTTTGGGTCCTATGGAGCCCTCAGCCTGGGGCCCCCTTGATTTTGGTGAACTGGAAATGTAAAGGAGAACCTCAGCTTTTGTTTTCTAGCTCTCTACCTTGCAGAGATAATTTTGCAAATGAACACCAGTATAAATACATGTAAACTGGGGTTGAGAGGAACAGATGGCTGGACTCTACTTTCTGCACTCTGGGGCCCGGGAAGGCAAACATTACCAACCTGACACCCCCTTCACATGCATAGTATGCAAATTGAGTTGGTTACCTGAAGCTGGAAATGTAAAGAATCGTGTCACTAACCTGCCTGGCTGCATTGGGCTGGCCCTGGTGTGATAATGGTACACAGGAATTTGATACATTTGGTGGAGAATCATTGTTAAACAAGCTCATCCAAAAATACTCAGACTGGCTCTGTTTGCTGAGTACGCAGCTACCCAGAGAGCCAGGAGGTGAGCAGCACTTTATAATTGCACTTCCCGCCTTGCTCTGAGCCAGGGCCAGAATTTGGCCGTTTAACAATAATGCTTTGCTACCCGAGGAGCTGAACACAGTTTACAAACTTCAGCTGATTTGAATAATGGGGCTTGCAGTGGAATAAAGGGGGAAATAGACATGTTAAACGTTATAATAAGTTCAATTAATTTATGGTGTAAGATTTTAATCTGTCCTGATAATTTACAAAAGTACCCTGGAGTGATCTGTCATCCATAAAACAGTTTACAACTGATACTGAATTGTCTTCAGAGGCACACAATAAACAGTTGGAGGATCTAAGATAAGTAGTAGCAATGTTCTGTAATTAAATTGAGACCAGTTAACCTGAATTGCATCACTTTTATTGCTTCACTGCAGAGGATTGTTATAGTGATATTCCAAGTCTTCACAGATTATGAAGCACTTGTTAAACTGATTTACAACAGTTTTGCAAGGTGTATTTCATTGCTAGCTCTTTCCATTAATACTGAAAATTACAAGGACTATTTATTTTCTGTATTATTTTATTATCACCCCCCTTTGAAGAAATTAATTTGCAAATGTTCAGCTAAACATTGCATGTCTGTACTTCTGTGCAAATAGTTTTTTAGAATGCTTCTTTAAAACATGACGTGAGGATAACATGTCCAAATCAAGTTGGTTATCCTTAAACACTAATGTCTTTTGTGTTGGAATATGTGTTTGTTGCTTTCAGTGTTATGAGCTTTAACTTTATTGTGGCACAGGCTTGAACTATATACCTGTGAGTGATAAGGTAGGAATTTGCTAGATTCTGATCTCAGTTACACCAGTGTCAATACCACATTCTTGCAGCTTCTTTTGTAATATCTGGTATGGGCCATTGTCAGAGACAGGATACTGGATTGGACTCAACTATTGGTCTGATCCACGATTGTCCTTAATTCCATTCACTTCAGTGGATGTGTATCAATGGAACTGAGATTAGAATCTGGTCTAGAATTTACAGTTAGCTCATTATTAATGGGGTTGGGTATGTGGTTTTCCTAACCGGCTCTGAGCCTTCAGAGCCACATGTGCTTCACTTTACATGCCGTGAATAGTCCCATTGACACAAACAGGACAATGCACAGTGCCTAAAATGTGCTACGGTCTTGGCTGGATCAGGGCATGTAAGAGACCTCTTTGAACAGAGTTCAGCAATGTGCTAAGCACCTGCTGTGAGGTTCTGAGTGCTTTTAAGTCCCTGTGACTTCGCTATGCTGACCAGGATATGAAGTCTTTGATGATAAATGAAAAATAAGTACCAAAGCAACAATAAAAAAAAATCAAATGCAGCTCTTTTCTAGTCTGCAGTGCGGAGTGCATAAAATGTTTTGTGCACCACTGTGTCTGCACTGCATGTACGCTGTTGATTTTCTATCGTGGGGATCTGTATAAACAGTTTATACTCCAAAGAGTTACACTTATCACTGCTATAGGTGGGTTCAACCTTACAGAAATCAGTGGCATTGTATGCACTTATTACACCTGGTGAATTTGACCTATGGATGCAAAACAAGGAAACGCCTTTCAGCCAGTCTGATATTAGGACTAATTTACTACATCTATGACTAAATACAGAGTATTCAGGACACCTCTACCCCGATATAATGTGACCCGATATAACACGAATTCGGATATAATGCGGTAAAGCAGTGCTCGGGGGGGGGGGGGGA